TTTTTTTCCCCTCAGATGAATCAGAAGACAGTCAAGACACAGTGGAACAAATCCTGAAATGCATCATTGAGAATGAAGGTACAGATCATTCACTCTGCCCTGTTCTGTTCTGCATTTAAATGATTTCCGTGGTTGAAAATGCTGTTATTTTTGTGCTACAGCCAATATGGAGGCTTTCAAAGAGATGCTGGTTGGCCAAAATGTTTGCGAACATCTCGATCCACGGTATGATCGTTATTTTTGTGACTCTTTAAATATGTATTTGTCTGATAAACAGAGAAACACCAATTCATAGACATGTTTTGTTTAAAATGTTTTGTTATGTTATATATGCATATATGTAGTTTGATATGACGCAAGCTGAGATTATTTACGATCTTCCAGTATGTTTGCAAATATTTTAGTTGTAATATATTGAAGTAGAATGTATTGAGTACTGAGTTCAGCATTGGTCCTGTATACCCCCACAGTGATGTAGGACAAGCAAAGGCATGTAAATGTGTGAATTAGTGTGCACACTGATCTCTGAATGGGTGCAGATGTAATAGAGGAGTAGAGGCTGAAGTTATTTCTCTAATGCTCTGTCTTCTCAGCAGCTTGCGTCACAAAGATAGCGTCGGTGGTCTTCCCCTTCACCATCACACCGTTCATCTGGGAGGCGAGATCAGCTCGTGTGTTCACTGTATGCAGAGTCACGTGTTAAAAACACGCCGCAGGAGCCGAGTGTCTCGAAGCAGAGCCCGGCTGGGAGAGCAGACCGTGTTTTCTGTGGGCAGGTGAGATTCTTTATCTGATTACCAGTCACACTCATTCTTCATTACTGCCCTGCACTTCAGAACAATACTAAAGTCATCAAAAAACATGAAACTGTCATGTGTCAAACACAACACATAGAAAACAAATATAAAGTCAGGAGAAAACCTAAACGCTAACCACACTGCCAGCAAAGACGAGAACCCAGGATGCTTTTTAGGGTAAGTTTGTACAACAAAGATTGTACTAAACATAGAAAAGTTATTCCTTTGTGTATTTGAAAAGTTTTGCATACAGATGACAGTGCTGTCATAACGGATCTGTGAACAGCTAAAAACGCTGTATTATTTATGCCAGGCCAGTAGTTGGCGATGACACTTGCCTGTGCACATGATGAGGGGGGTAAAAACAGGACAGAACAGAGTCTATTACTTCCATTATGATATATGTGTTGATGTAAAAATCTTGATAACATTATAAGTGGACCTCAGAGA